TCCCTTACAATTTTAAAGCAATTTTTCTTTTCCTGGTCACTAATTGCAATCTTATCTTCTATATCTGAGATTCCGTCCTCACATTGGTTCATTCTGCTGCATAGACTTTCAATGGAGTTTTTAATCTCCTGGAAATCTGTTTGTATCTGTTTTATTGATTCCATTTGTTTTCTATGTTGGAATTCCATCATGTTCCTCAGCCCATCTATTTTTTTATCTGTGTCTGCTCTAGATTTATTAATCATATCTTGCACTATGGGCACAATCTCTGCTGTTATCTGAGAAATTATTTCTGATTTCACTTTTTCCAGATCCTGTTTTGTTGCCAGTTCAGGGAGTCCAAGTGGTTGAGTATCAGATTGTTCCATCTTGTTTCCCTTTGGGGTTGCCTTGGGTGATCTGGAAGTCTGGTTTTGAGCCTTGTTTATGTGCCTTGTCATTTCAACAGATGCAGCCTTCTGTGCCTTTGTTTAGGCAACTTTTTGCTCACCCAGTGGTCTTCAATTTTCAGCAAGCCACGGAGCTGCCTTTTCTGTGCTGCTCATGAATACACTAAATCCTGGGTTCAGAAAGGTGGCCTTATGGATCCCTGAGCTCACCTGTTGTCTGGGTCGGCTTCTGCCTGGGGCCTGTGCACACTTGGGATGGTATCTAGGTGTGCCACTTGCTAGGGCTCCTATGTAGCTGTTGTCTGGGAGGGTCTTTGGCTGTGAGCTGTGCACCCCAGGTCCTGTTGTGTGAGCAAGCTTCTGGCTAGGGTCTTGCGCACTTACTGATGGTATTGGGGTGAACCTCTGGGTGTTCCTTGTGTGCCTGTGCAGCTCTTTTCCAGGCAGGCCCTTGGCTTGGGCCAGTATGCACCAGCCTCTGGGGTTGGGGCAGAGTCCTGGCTGGGATCTGCTTGCAGCCACGCTGCTCTGTTCCACACAGCTGTTCCCCCAACTCAGGTGGCCTAGTGTGCCTTTATTGGAGAGATCTTCTTCACCTTTCCAGTTGGCTTTAATTTTCATCAGTTGCCCTCAGAGAGGCCCTCTTTCTGTTGTTCACTTCTACTCTATCTTCTCCAGCTCAGAACAATGTCCTGTATGACCCCTGAAACTCTGTGGTGTGGATCCAGGTAATGGCTTGGCACAGCTGGGGTGAGGGGGAGGGGAAGGTGTGTGCTGGCACCCGTGAGGCTTACTTTCTCAGCGCTCTGGGGTGGTGGTACGGCTCTGAGCCCCATTTCTGATAGGGAAAGTAAACCGAAGTTCACATATTGCTTGAATCTCCTTACCTCTACCCTATTTTACTGGGCTTCTTTAAAAACTGGGCTATCTTCTCATCTTGGGGTAAATTTGGGCTTCAATTATGGAAATTGCTAGATGTTGACATTTCCTGACCTTAAAAGTCTACAGTTATTCTGTTATAAAATAGGAAATGTGGAATTATAGTTTTCTTTTTTCAAAACAGAAGGATTATGTTTTCTTTTCTGTTGTCTGAGTTGTGGAGCTTATCTCTAGCTTTAATTTAGTTGGTTCTTTTCTCCACCATAGACTCAGTCTCTCCTCCCTCAACCATGGAACACACTTGTTAATATAATCAGGGAACTTATATCTCCCCAGGATATTAATACAGTGCCAATATCCACCCCATCCCAAACACAGACTATTTCTGGTAACCTCCTTCAAGCAAGTTCTAACACCTAGTGCATTATCTCTTTTTAAAAATTTGTAAATGGCTGCTCTGATGAATCCCAAATGATGAAACCTGGGAATACAGAAAGAGAACTTAGGCTTGTAATAAAAGATAAATTTTACCACAATTTATTTTGACTAATGATATATATAATCATTATTTTAGTACATTGTTAATGATGGATATGGTAAGTAGATTACTTAGGTGACTCTAATTTCTATTAGTTTTATATAGCCATTCCTATGGTTTAACTCTTGTTACTTAAGACTTTTCTAGTTTTTGTATCCTGAGGTGTATGTGTAGCTAATATCTTGTCAGTGCAGAAAACAGCCAAAGTACTCCAAGAATTTTGCTACTTTCTTGTGTTTTTTCCACTGTGGCCAAATGAACTCCATTCTTATATGATTTCCCTTTGTTCCTGGTATTTACTTTCTTTTCCATGCCTACCCCTTGCCTCCACCCAGCTGGACCAGTGGTAGGCCAGTATGATGTCAACTAGTGCCAAGGCTTCTTTGGGTCAGTACCTATTGTCACCATTTTTCTAGTACTGAATGAAAGAATATTTTGTGACCATTGAAGTATAAAAGACTATCCTCAATTCTTAAAATTTACTCAACAAGTACTGTTAAGTAATCAAAACCTCCACGTGGAAAGAAATCTGCCCACCCAAATTTTGGTTACAAATGAGTTATATATGCTATAATGGAGCTTCTTACCAAGAGAAGAAAATTTTTAGCCTTAGTGTCTCATCAGGGCTTTGTTGAAGAACAGAGATTTGGCTTGCTTAGTCCCCTTGATGATCTAGTTCTCTTCAGAGGGATCTCTGGCCAGATTCCTATCCTGTCTGGACCATTCTCCATTCCTATCGGCAATGTTCTTTCTGCTCCAAGCTCAGTTCTAGCAGCTACCAATGCCCCCAAGTCTTGGCCCCAAAGTAGACAGAGAGCATCTGTTTTCTCAGCTGTCAGGGGAAGACATGTGAATAGGGATCTCTTGGGAACAGAGATAAGGAAGCTGAGTTCATCCATCTCCTACTGATTCTGTCCTTTAAATAATGCTCACAACTACTCAGTCTGCAGTTTCTCTCTGATGATATGATCATGTGCTCTGTGGATAAAACAAACCAACAGAATAGACCCTGTGGATCAGTCAGGAATGCTCAGTTCTATAGAAACAGATCCCATTTCTGTATAACTGTGATGTGTCCATAAAAGTGGGCATGTCTCCTGGAGATGGTTAGCTTCTAGTCCCCCAAAGCAGAGTGCAGAAGCTCATTTTCCCAAACAGATAAAGACCTCAAATGGTGGATGGATACATAAAAGAATCACAGAATAGATGATCCATGAGGATCCACAGAGTCAGTTTCAACTCTCATAGGAAATGCTGTCTAGGGTAACACTGGCTCAGAACTGGGAAGTTTTTCTGGTGATGTGTATATAAGTCTACGTGTGAAAGAGTATGGTGCCTTAGCTCTGAGGATTCCTTAGGGAGCTCTGCCAGTAACCCATGGAAGGCTGACACAGTGATTTGATGTTCTATATCTCCTGCACCAGTCTCAATTGTATGGTCTTTTGCTATCTCTGTAAGTATATTTGTTCTTGTCAAAGAGGGCTATGATCATCTGGGAATCATCTCACAGATCCAGTGGTAGGGGACGTCACATGATGCAGCATCAAATGTTGTTGACAGGCCTATGGTGACACAGTTGAAGTTTTCATTCTTGTTGGTGACACTAAATGAGAAAAGGAAGTGTGGTTATGGCTCATTTCCACTCTGCATTTTGCTAATCTCAGTGAGAGTCTCATGCAACTAGTATGTGGACTGTGTGGATACACTCCTCCTCTGCACCACACCTTCTATTCTAACTCAGCCACTCTCTTCTAAACTCAATTTCCCCAAATTCAGCTTTACCTGACCTGTCAGTTCCTCAGAGAGTGCTCAGAGATTCCCAGAATCTTAACTAACTCATTTCTATCTTTGGTCAGAAACATCTGAGTTTTTCCTTTTCCCTCAAGAAATAATGTTTTAGTACCATATATAAATTTGTAGCAGAACTGAAAGGGGGACAGAGATTTCTCATTCTTTCCTTGATGGCAGCAGGCTGTAGGAAAATCTTAGTGAACGTGTCTGTTGGCCTTCTCACATCTCTTTTTATGTTATTTGTTCCTTTTAAATCTGAATATAAAGAGTTTAATTTCATGGAAAAGTCGTGAGTTTTGAGCTCAAGTGAATATAGGATCAAATTGTGGCTCTACCACTTTATAGCTATATGAATGTCAACAAATTTCTAAGCCTTTTTTGTTCTGGATTGAGCTGTTCAGTAGAAAGTAATAAAAGATTTTTCTGTATCATGTGAAGACTGCAGGAAATAATATATGTAAAGTGCTCAGCATAGAGTCTGACATTTAGTAGAAACTGAATGAATATTAATCTTCTGCTCTCTGTAGAGATACCCAGTGACAGGCTGGGGACGTGAATTGCTCCTTGTTGGACTTAGCATTTTCATATGAACACTGGGAATATTATGTTTGCTACCAACCTTTACTTCATGGAATGACTCATTGGAGATAGATACTGCAAATTAGCAGTTCACAGCTTTAAGGTACAGATGATTTTTTTAAAAGTACATAAAAAGAGCTACATGTGGAGAAACTTGTAGGCACTTAGCAAAAAAAAAATGTGATCCGTAGTTTAAAAGAGATCTATGAGTTACAGCAAAAAAAAATCTATGTATGTGGATTTGTTTGGATCTTTGGGTAAATTAATGTATTCGATGAATACTTTTTTCTCTCCTACTTTTTAAAGTGGAAAATGTTTGATATTTTCCTTAATAAAATACTTATAAGAAATATTTCTCTGAGAATAGACAGGTTGGAAGAAAGAAGATTAAAACAAGAGGGCCAGGCATTTAGCTCAGTGGTTCTGCCACCTGCCTTGCAAGTGAAGGGCCCGGAGTTCTATTCCTGATACCAAAAAAAAAAAAAAAAAAAAAGAAGGGGAAAATTAAAATAAGGTCAAGTCTCAGCTTCTGAGATATTACAGCATGAATCTCAGGTTTGGTTTTTTGGAAGCAAACCAAGATCCCCAGAATAATGTGGGATGCTCACATACTTGCCAATGAACACAGAGTTGTTGATCCAGTGCCATTTATTCTCTGCAGGCTGGTACATTAAGCCAATAAAATACTTCTCAGCATCAGCTTTGTCTTGGAGATACTTCTGGAAATTAAAACAATAAATAAGCAGTTCAACAATGAGTCCTTTATTGCTGTCCTTGAGCCAGTGAGCCCATGATTATATTTGATTGTGAATAAGGAAAGCTCCTGGAGGTAGGAAACTGGCTATCACTGGCACTTGCCATTAACCCCTAGAGAATAAGTTCATAAACTTTTCAGGCAACAAGATCATATGGAAGTCTTGCTAAAACACAAATTGCTAGGCTTCTGTTCCAGAAGAGCTGGTATAGGGAATGAAGAATTTACATTCCTATCAAGTGCCCAGGTGATGCTGATGTTGCTCTTCAAAACTAGACTGAGGAAATAGAGAAGGGGAACTATTTGATCAAGACCAGATAGTTTGAAATACAATTAAAAACTTGTCATGACTCACTGTATAGAATTACTTTCACTTCCAGAAATTTTATATTTCAAATGAGGTGGAGTCAAATAATAACAAAATATGTTGACTTGAGATTCATCAGCAAACTATTGGTGTGATGAGCTTCTTCTGGGGTTAGCATGGAGCGTAAGTGGTGGAGAATGCCACCAATGGGAGGTGGGATGCATTGAAACTGAAGGGGTGAGTAGAGAAAAAGATGCCGTCAACTTGTCTTATTCACCTCTTCCTCTCATTTTTTTTCTTCTTTTCTCCTCTTGGTTTTATTCCCATTTTTCTGCCCGAGGGCATATTTACTTCTCACTTGGTGCTTAGACCTAAAGAATCTATAGCATCTTGATCCCTGCCCTTTGTTAGACATCTGTTGCCTAACTTCAGAAAAGTCTCTCTTACAAATTCTTCTCAATCACAGGAGTACTTTTTTTTACAGGAAGAGTGAGGGTATAAAAGGGAGAGAAACAAGAATAGTGTATATAGCACAGTACCCTTCTCCTCTACTTAAGTTTTGTTGCATAACAAGTTCCATCCTTCGTATTCCCCATTGCTTAAACTATTGTGAGTGCTGGGTACTCAGCAAATGCTTAGATTTGAAGGAGAGGTAACTGTGAACTAAAATGAAGTATGGTCTAAAATTGATTCAAACATGGTTTTTGGAGTCAAAGTCATCTGAATTCAATTCTGTGTTCTGTCATTTATGTGTGTAACTGTGGTTAAATTATTTTGGTGCCCTAATTTCCTCATTTTTAAAATATAAATAATAATATGCCGTCAGGATTGTTATAAGATAAAAGAAAATAATAAAGCTTTTTGCATAGTGTTATCTATTTTTATTATCATGAATATAAACTGAAAACCCTATGATCTGATTCTTTGTTTTTCATATTACTGATTCTGTTATTTCACATCTTCCTTTTTTACTGTGTATATTGGGATGCTACATTGATATCTTATATCTGTATGCTTGTAATAGCCCAGAGAAGCTGAAGAACATGCCCCGGTGCTACTAAGAAATCTCTCAACCTCAGGTTCAGAACAAGGAGATGGAACTCAGCCAGCCACCTCTCCACTCCTCCCTACCCAACTCCCACTCCACCACACTGCCCTACCATCTCCATCCACTGAGGCTGGTGTAGGGTGGGCTGCTTTACTGTACCATTCCTGATTCTCTCACCAGTTTCTCTGGCGTGTTGACAATTGCCAAAGTGGATCTTTTTTTTGCACAGTCATCCCTGCTATTGCTCCAGGTTGATTCAGTGGTGGACAAGAAGAAACATCTTGTTTGATTGAAGTTCTGCCAGTGTGGGGGGCAGGCTGAAGAGATGAGAGGAAGAAGGAAAGAAAAAAGGAAAGAAAGAGAGAAAGAAAGAAAGAAAGAAAGAAAGAAAGAAAGAAAGAAAGAAAGAAAGAAAGAGAGAAAGGAAAAAGTATGAGATTAGATTTTTGGAATATGAACCCTGGAACTGATCCATAAAATGGTGGGACATAATGGGATATGGGCTTCTTTATAACAATTATATTGATACAAATTGCTCTCAAGCCAAAAAGAAATTCCATTCATTCTAGACTATTTTCCTGTTGTTGACATGAAGGAAATGAACTAGAAGGTCTTTATGGACCCTTTAAGCAAAAAAAAAAAAAAAAGGTTTCATAGGAAAGGAAGTGATGAGAAAAATCTATAAGAATTCAGCTAATAACCTATGTAAGGAGTCCAGAGGAGATTCAAGTCATGTGCTTTACCTGTTCCATACCTCCTTGTGGGAATGAAGCTCTCAGTACTGCTCTCAAAAGTTTGTGAGACTGAAAGGAAGAGAAAACAAATTTTACTGTACAGTGAACATAACACACAATCATCAAAGTATTGGTTGTTGAATTGCAACTATTTGACTTTTAAAAGTACCTCCCTACAAGGAGCTCTTGACCAGTGCTGAGCTAGCTTTTTTCAGATATTTTGTTTTTTTTAACTTTCATTTTGCTATTACTGTTATTGCCCTATTTTATTCTCCCCTTTTGGTGTGGCAGTGGGTATGAAATGCTGGGGAGGGGGAAGAAAAAACAAGAGACAGACAAGTAGTTGAAGAATTTGGTATCCCAGGGAGACTCACTCCTTTCTTAAGTGTTCCTCTGAGAGTGTTCCAGTCCACTGCAGGCTCCACAAAGCATCTTTGCTACTCTTGCCATTTTTGGTGTCCCAAATCCTCTACTGAAACTCATAATCCCAGGCAGGTACTGGATGCTTCTCTTATCAACACTTTCTAAGAATTGCAACTAATTGGAACAAGTTTTACAGTATAATCAGACAAAGAATCAAGTGAACATTCCAGAAATTTCCCGTAAATGGAGAGAGATCCATTTGTTCCTTTAAATATAAATAGGGGAATCGACTGGTCTCCACAAGACCTCATTTTTTCTGGAAACACTGGTGGTCTGAGTAGGCAGCTACAGTAGTTTCAGAGGCTGGTCAGATCTCTCTTCAGTGACCTCAGTTATTTGTCTATTATTGTTGAAAACACTTTAGTTTACTCAGATATTAAATTGGTTGCTTAAAATTATATTAATTAAATAGATGTTAGCTTTCTCTTTTTATTTCAGTCTGGCTCACGGGCCCTTTGTTATATATAGTAGCCTGGTTTTCATCAGAAAGTACTTTGGGATTATAATGGACCCAATACATATTTCTTGAGTATTTTCTTCATATAACTCATTATCTTGGATGCACCAGTTGAAACAAAGATGAATGAGAAATGGCTTTTCTCTTAAAGGTGTCAGTAGTAACAGGTGTCTTAAGAGGAAGTGAGAGGTCTGGGAAAAGGCTTCTAGAGCGGGTGGGTTTGACAGGAAGAGCCACATCTCACCCATCTCTTTATCCTGCATGATTTTTGGTCTTGTGCCTTTCACTTTATAGATGATGGTTAATATCCTGTGTTCATTCTTTTCCCATAGTTCGCCTTGCATAATATTTGGCGCAGAAATATGATACTCTTTTTGTGGCACCTCATCTCTCTATAATCATTCCTTGTAGGTGTACATCACTTCAGAGTCTCTGAGGTGCATTCACATTACACTATAGCAATTACACACAAATCATCCACATGCCCAGTAGAGGTCAGAAATTTCACTCAGGACCTGGGGGTGTGGCTCAGATGTATACTTTTTATGCAAGATATCCTTGGGTTCTATCCCTGACACAGCAAAAGAGAAATTTTCACTGACTCTGGTATTGGTTATCCCTGGAAGATAATTTATTAAAAGACCTTTATGATATCTTTATACAAAAGATCCTTGGGAAAGCAGGGCTTGAGGACAGGCTCTAAGAATGGAGGCCCCTAGAAGTTGGATGGTAGAGAGGAGATTACCATTATGCACATTATCTGTTCCATAGCTCCCAGTAGGAATGATGCCATCATTACTTTTCCAAAAAGTCTGTGGGACTGGAAAGAAAATCATATATTGGCTCAGCTCCAAACACAGCTACATAATGAATAAAACAAGCAAATCCATAGGGGGGGCCCTGTGACTATTAATGAGAAGCACTGATCTCTGACTCAGATCACCAGGGCAGGGATATGTATATATTTTTGGAATGTCTTCATTTATTGAAACGTCTTCATTTATTGAAACTCACATTTCCTCTTACCCAACCAGTCTGACCCACTCACATTTCCTTCCTTATTTATACTACTTACTGGCTTCAGAGGCTGGAAAGTATTCTACTTCTTGAATTGCCCCATAATCCTTTGATATAAGGCTTCTTTTTCTAATTAATTCATTGGAATGAATGAATTTATATGAGTATGTAGCAAAATTTCTCTTTTGATTATAGCCTATTCACTTATAGTTCAGCCTTTAACACAGACTTACTATTGAATTGAAATGGAGCTGTATTTTTAAATTTCAGCAACAATAGCAAGCCCTGCTAACTACTTCAGCTCAGATTACCCCCAAAATACTCTAGTAACAAAAGCTGTGTGTGGGCTTTGAACTATCAGATTCCGGTCAATTCTACATCTCTAAGGTAGAATAAGGAACCTGGCCCATTGTATGTGCTGGAGAGAAAGAAGGGCATTGATCAATTGCTCTTAGCCTGTATCAATTGCCCTTAGGTGGAAAATTTGAGAATTTAACCTTATATATAATTTTCGATTTGGAAGAGTCAAGGAGCAAGACAATAGGGATGTTGGGTTAAGCAATCATTCAAATACTCACAATACAGCAGAAATAAGGTCACTCCAATAGCTTTAAGCACCACTACAATAAGCACAGAGATTATCATGTGCCAGTTCATTATGAACGGGATTCAGGAACCTGTGGGGAATCAGAGAAAAATTATTAGAATCTGAGAACAAATTTGACCCCCGCCCCCCAGGACTTAACCCGGCTCTTGCTCAGGGCTAAAGGGAGGCTTAGAAGGCTCAGATTTTACCAGAGCATGGATGGGAACTTGTGATGATCCTGAGCTTTTGAACTTGGCATGCTGCCTATCCTTCATTCTTCCCTTAGCTCTAGGCTTAGCCTTGTCCCTGTTTGTGGCCTTTTAAACTCTAATAAGTAAATCCTCTCCTGTATTTCAAGAACTCTTAGTTTTTAAATGACACTTACTTCAAGAACTTTAGTCTGTAGTCTTGGCCATGCTGACTTCAGTTGTAGAAGCCTCAGTCTTCAGTATGTCTGCTGTAGACAGAACAGGCTTCTCTTAAGGTCTTGGCTTTGGGTAAAGGCCAACAGTCTGGACAGAGAGGACAGACAGACAGAGAGACAGATAGACAGATAGACTCACCCCTCTTCCTGGAAGACTGAGATTCTTACAGATGGGGGTTTGAGGCTTGGAACAGTGGACACGGGCCCTGTCTGTTTAGAATATGCTCATGCTCAGGCAATGCCCTTCCTTCTTCAGTTTGTCTGTCCTGGCAGCATCTGTGAGAAAATATGTCTTCCTGTTCAGTGTTTTTGGCAAAGGGAACAGGCGGGGCAAAGAGAGGAAGGGAGCCTCTAGCTTATAAGGAGGAAGTTTCTTACCAGGAGAGTCATAATACTGGGGAATATTTCTACCAGAATTTGCAGAAGCAAATATCTCAACATGGATTCACTGTTCCTGTTTACTTTCTATTGTTCTTGGGACATGGTTTGGACTCCTTAACATGGTCTATAAGTCTTTGCATGCTCATTGTTGCAGCACATGTTACTGTGTGTTTACTATACACCACTTTCAGGCACCTGCGATATATGTTGGGGCTCTGGACTTCTCACGAAACCACATCTACCCTAGCATCGTCTGCAGGCAACATTGAATTCATAACTTTCTCTTTGATCTAACTTTTCACATATTCACCTTACACAATTTTTGAGCACGTATGTACAAAGAATTAAGAGCACCACCTGCACAGACATAGATTCATGCATACTCTCTTTGACTAGGTTATCCCAACTCATCCTTCAGGTATTAGCTTAAATGCCACTTTTTTCCAGAAATTTCCTTGCTAATTCTCCTTCTTTGCCCCATTGGAGTTTAGGTGTAGCTTATCTAGTCTCATGATACCATGCACTTATTCCTTGGAAGTGACTTTCACGTGATAAAATCCTGGTTGCCTTGCCCTGAGGACTCTTTGGAGCTGTGAAGGCAGGGGCTAGTTATGTTCTCAACTGCTGCAGCCCCAGCACATCCACAGAGCATGGAACACTGCACCATGGCATCAGGTTTCCAGGATTGCAATTCAAGCCTTTATTGTGAAAGTATGAGAGACCCTACAAAATATTTCTGATTATTTAAAAATCTTTGTGCTATTATTTATACTAATCATCAAAATTGGTGTCAGTTATCAAAGATAATTTAGGTGCTATAGGATCTTCAAGGTATGGATTCTTGATTAAAATTTTATCTTAATAATTACTCTTAAATGTGGATTGTGGTTATAGTACTCTCAATGATAACTAACTACCCCTTTAGTCTTATATAGAGTTAATGTGTGTGGCAAATACTATGTTATCTTAAATTGCCGCTTAGATGATACAACAGCAATAATTCATAAAACACACAGAAAGAACCAGCTTCAAGAGTAATTAGTAGGCCCCTGCAGTAGAGCTCTATGACATGTACCCTAACTGGTATGTCAGGGCTTGGAGGTGAGAGGAGTTTGTGGGCCCTTGAGGTGGGATGGCTGAGAGCCTGTGAGAAGGCTACTCACTTCTGGACCCTATCAGGAACAGAGCTTCCTGGAAACACACTTGGCTCCCACTTTGTGCAGTGGTTCATTGAATAAAGTGGAAGTCCTATTGCAAGGACAGTCATTCCAACTGGATAATGAAGACATGACCCCATATTATCAAGCTGCTTCAGTACCAGACAGAAGAAACCCTGTGGTCAGCAGTGAGACTTCCTGTTCAGGATGTCCTTATCTGACAGGAGAGAACAAGAGTAGATAAAAACTTTCCCATCTTCTTTCATCAATTCCTGTAAGATTTGATTCTTCCAGTATCTACCAAGGCCATCACAGCTTTGTATGGGTAAAATGCTATCATCTCCCACTCTGACATTTAACAAACAGGAAAATAAAATTCATAGGTGTATGAGAATGCATTCATTAAAAATAAAGTGAGCAGCATAAAGAAAGAGACCTAATGTCCACATGTGAAACAGTCCTAGAAGACTGGAGATGTTAGAAAATATCTCATTTATGTTTTCATTAAGATTTTAGAGATCCCTGACTTTACAAAAGAAAAATGACTTAATATCATAAAGTGGACAACAAATGCTTTGGAATTTAATTGCTGATTTTAAAAAAGCAATAGATTGAAGGGCTTTGAGTACCTTATTAGATGCTTTACAAAAAGAATGAGAAAATTTTCCAGCAGAAGGAGACCGAGGTGTGAGGGGATGGCGGCTCCGTCTTAGAGAACAGTGCCCAGGAGCAGCCGCAGGACAGAGCGCTTCAGATCCTTGTTCATTCTGATCATCTGTAGGACGTGATCCAAGGTGTCACCCCCTCCAGGTCCCCCCTGGAGTGACCGCCAGGTGAGAGGCAGGACAGCACCATCTTGGCCCCATCCTCAGGGCAGACAGGGACGCTGAGGACCCTGGTGTGTTGAGGTCCTGGCTGCTACCTGTCTGGCCGCAGAGGGATGCAGCCAGGACTCTCCAACGGTGTTTTTAATGGGGTCAAATCCACACGGTTTGTATATACTTTTCTTTAATCTTGGGCATTTTGTTTCTCTTTCTGAGAATGTAGCTTAAAACACTACAGAGCCAATAATCCTATACAGAGTGTATTTGCAGATGCTGTACAGTTTTATGTACCTTCGCAATGTATTTTGCTGCCTTCTAGATAATTTATTTTGCAATGCATTACTGCACAGTTGTAAATAACTTATGTACTGTAACATCACTTTCAATTATGTGTAAATAAACAAATAAATAAATAAATTAATTAAAATGCTAAAAAAAAAAGTCATTCAGGGCTGGGGATTTAGCTCATTGGTCTGCCTGCCTGCCTCACAAGCGCAAGGTCCTGAGTTCAATCCCTGGTACCAAAAAAAAAAAAAGTCATTCTTACTAGTGAACCTAAAACCGCTGTGCAACATTTCACAATGACAAAGAACTGAAATCTGTTCGTTGCGTCATTTACCAGGAAATACATTGTGCTAAGTATCATGGATGTAGTAATTAATGTTGTGTACCACACATGCTTGAAAACTTGAAACCACAAAAAATCTAGGGTGTTGTGTAATGAATTGGATTCACAATGTGATATTCTATTTCATTCCATACCAGTATGAATGAACAAAAGGAATATAGATATACAGAGATTTAAAATATCCTACATTTCATTGACTGAGATGCACATTAATTTTCACTTAATAACATCTCTAAGGTATATCCTAGTCCAGTGATGGTGAACCTTTTAGAGTTTTCAATAATACAGACAGCCCGTTGTGCCATGTGTACCATAGGTTTGCCATCATGGTCCTAGTTGATAACAAAGAGCATTGTGCAATACAGTTGTCCCTTGGTATCTATGGGGGATTAGCTCCAGGGACCCCCTTACCTAACATTATGGTCTCAAGGTGCATCCATTTTCCTACAAATGACTCATTTATTCTTTATAGAAGACTAGTACTCCATTGTATATAAATACCACATTTTCTTTATCCATTCATCTGTTTTTGAGCATGTAGGCTGCTTCCAAGATTTAGCTATTATGAGTTATGGTATGAACATAAGTAGGCATGTATCCTGTAATATGATGTCTTTAACTCTTTCGAGAAGATACCTAGAAGGGGAATAGCTGGGTCAAATGATATTTATATTTTTAGTTTTTTGAAGAATGTCTATACTGATTTCCATAATAATTGTACTAGTTTACATTGCCACCAGCAATATAGAAGGGTTCTTTTTTCTCTGCAGCCTTGCCACATTTGTTACTATTTGATTTCTTGATGGATTATAACCATTCTGCAGTAATGTGGAACCTTCATGTTGTTTTAATTTGCAATTCTTTAATGGACAGACATGTTGAACATTTTAAAATGTATTTATTGGCCATTTGTACTTCTTCTGAGACATATTTATTTCAGCAATCCTCTTGTATATTTTAAATCATGCTTAGTTACTACAGATATAATTTTAAAAATATTTTTGATTGGAGGTTAGTTGCATCTGCAGTGTAAAACTCATGGATACAGTTGGCTATTTTAATAGGCAGAATTTAATTTTTCTTCCTTAGTGATAAATAATAGGGCATCTTAGAATTGATGCCATCTTAGATTTTTGTGACATATGATAATAAAATAACACTACAAATTTAAACCATTATAATTTTAAACTTTATAAAATAGATGCAAATATAACTTAACAAAATTGACCCAAGAAATGAAGACCTGAAGTGACCTGGCAAAAAATGGCTAAAGATTTTAGAGAAATATGTAAGAAAATGTTATTTGTAAGTGGCAACTTCTGTATTAAACCTAAATTTGAAATCACTTTAAAATTTTAACTTACACATAATAATCCCATAAATATATGGAGTACAATATGTTTTGGTAACATGTAAACACTGTATAGTGATCAAATCTGAGTTATTACCATATCTATCACCTGAAATATTTATCTTTCCAGTGGTGTGAACATTCAAAATCCTTTCTTCTAGCTATACTGAAAAATACATTTAATTATTGCTAATTGTAGTCACCTGACTGTCTAATAGAACATCAGAACTTATTCCTCCTAATTACGGTATAGCCCCACAAAGTCACAGTTCAGTTTTCAGCCTGTTGTTCATGGATTTTTCCTTAGAATATAATTAAAAATTGTTTGCAAAAATCCCCACAATTTCATGGAAACTGCAAATATCCTCTTCTGCAATTTATTTTTGGCTGGAGGTTTGGAAGTAGCCAATCCGAGAGCATTATTCAGTTCTCCTTGCTGCTGATTGGCTGCTGCTGTGTAACCTATCTCCAAAGATGCACCAGCATTCCCCCATAGTACAGGTTGCTGTACTGCATGTAGCTATCTGAAATGTTATTGGGTTTTCTTCTTGTTATAGCCCTAAGATCCCTAAGATGCCACCAAAATGCCTTGCACCATTTAAGGCTTTATTAATATAGTACTTTATTAAATTAAATTACATAACTGTGGGAGACATAGCATACTTAGTGTTTAAACTATAAAAATAGGCATTAATAGGCATTTTTCTGACCATATCTGAAATCTGTGGTTTTTCACAATTTGTGGGTGCTCTAGGGATGTAACCCACGTGAATTTCAGGGCTCCACTGTATAACTTTGTACATCTTGACCAACCTCTCTTCATTTCTCTCCATGTCTTCCAATTTTCTCTAGACTCTGGTAACCACTGTTCTATTCTCTAAGTTTATGAAAATGACTCTTTCATATTTTACCTAAAAGTGAGACCATGCAGTGTTTGTCTTTTTGTACCTAGCTTATATGACTTAGCATAATGTCTTCCAGCTTCATCTATGTTGTC